ATTTGGGTTCACAGTTTGTCTATAGCCTCCTTTGACTTTGTGGGCCCAACACTGGAAGGGAAGAGGGTGTCCCCTCAATCTCTATGCTTAGCCCATCATCCGAAGCAGAGCCCAAGAATGGAGAGGCTTGGAGACCAGGAAGCAAACATGGAACGTGGAGCTGTCTGGAGCTAGAAAAGGCTTGAAGTGATTTAGAAGGAAAGTTAGCAAGCCCTCCTTTTGATTTGCCTCCCCTCAGACAAATGAGGTTAGAACCACAGTGGGGTGGTCCATAAAATTCCCAAACATTTGGCCTCTCCTGTGGGCCGGGCCCTCACACGGCTAACCCCAGGGCATGTAAAGGAGAGCGAGGCCAGCCCTGCGTGGGGAAGCTTGTTTCGCACTCAGCTGAGGCACAGGGCAGTGGTCTGAGAAACCAAATCCATCCGCAGAGCTCATTCTTGAGTCTGGCAAAGGCATAGCTGCTCAGGGAATTCCACTGCTGAGGGGAGATCATTGAAATCAGAACCTGGGAAGGTGATTGTGCTGGGCAAGTTTCATGCCTCCCACTCTCCCTCAGCCCCTTCTTAGAGGAACCGCCCTCTGACACAGGGCTGGGCCCAGGATCCTGGGTGTCTTGACCATGTGACCCTGAGCCCTTGCTGTCCCCTCTGGCACCACAGCTGCCTGGCACAGGGTGGCTCTGGCTGGCCAGTGACCCAGGACCCAAGGCCCTGCGAGAACCGATGGCGGGTCTCTCTCCCAGCAGCACCAGCAGTGGACGAAGCAGCCTCGCTCAGTTGGGTTTTGCCACAAGAGCTTCATTTGTCACCCCTGCTCTGTGGAATGTCCCTTCCTCCTGGCGATGTAGAGGAGGCCAAAGAGGTTATGGGAGGCCAGAGTCAAGGAGTGACCCAGGAGAGAAGCAAGGAGGAAGCCCATGGCGGGACAGAAAAGCAGACACAGAGGGCAGCTGAGGCCCATGGAGGAGCCTGAAATGCCCGTCACCAGTCCCACGGCAGCGTCCCCCAAGCCAGACGGGATCCAGAACCGCCCTCCGGCCCCTCCTCTGCGAGTTCTGACCCTGGTGGCTCTTGTCTTGCATATCTGTGCAATGTTCCTTATTGCTCTGTGTGGAGCAATATCAAACTCACCCCAAACACCCCCGACTTGGGTGAGCTCGAGGTTTCTCCCCCTCGCTAACGAATGAGCCAGAAGACAGTTTCGCAAGAGGTCCCTGGCCTCTGCTGAGCAACAGAAGGCCAAAAGGATGATAGGGTCCCAGGGAGACCAGTGAGGTCCTTTGCCCTCTGGGAGCACAGAGTGAAACTGCAGGCTGTTTCGTTGCTGGGCACTTGGGGTTATTTATTTATTTATTTTTCACACAAATCATTTTGCCAAAGTTTAGAGGCAACAATATGGTGCAGTAGAAACAAAACTAGAACAAGGGTCAGGAAATCTGTGCCTCCCTTAATCAGCTCTGCGAGGTTGACCGAGCAATTTAAGTCCCTGTCCCAGTTTTGTCATCAGAAATGCAGGACGAATAATTGCCCTACCGCCTTGAAGATTTTTTGTGAAGATCACATAAAAATAGGCATACAAAGCCTTGGGGGAGCATGGATAAGAGCTATATTATTTTATAAACTGTAAATGACAATGCCAACCGACAAAGGAGTCGCTACCACGCCCCTCTGCCAAACTTGATGGACTCAGCACCAAAGAAGCCAAAAGATGAATGTCTGTATCTCCTGTAAATGAAGACTGTGGCTTCCTGCCAACAACCAAAGTCGCTGTTAATTCCACAAGGGACATTAGCCGAATTAGAATTTGTCCCCCTCCACTGCCTCCCCGTCTCCTCTCTCTCTCTCTCTCTGTCTCTCTCACTCGCTCACTCTTGCTCACTCTTGATCTCAATTTCCAGCTGCAGCTAACCACACAATCCAGCTGAAATAGAAAGTTCTCATGCAGTTTCCAATTCCAAGATTTGTTAATTTACTGGCACATCAGTTGGCTTATATCCTCGGGCTTATTGCCACAGGGTTACAAAAGGGCTGCTTCAGCACCCCACCAGCACATTCTCTCCCAACCACATCCAAAAGCAGGAGGGAAGATTTTGCTTAAATGTCTCTAGGGCATTTCTATCATGAGGGCAGAAAACTTGTCTGGGAATGCGCCCCTCCCCACACACACCCCCCCAACACAGAACGTGCAGCAAAGAGCCTGGGAAAGGCTCTCAGCGTCTCTAGTAGGAGTGGGCACCGCCCGCGAGAGAAAAGTAGGGGGTGGGGTTGCAAGGCGGTAGCACAGAGGAGACATCTATAGGGTTGGCAAGAGAATTTCAGTGCGGAGAATGGAGTTCATTCTCACTAAATGAAGCAGAAGAATTTGTTCCAGGGTATTAACTGGCCAACAAAACTGGGAAGGCTGAAGAAACAGATTCTGGGTTGGGTATTCAGAAAAGAGTCCTACAGTCACCCTGCTGCCTGGTCTGTGCTCAGAAAGCCACAGGCTCCAGAACCACACTGCCGTGGCCATGACCAGGAAGCCACCAGCACTGTTGCCACCCCCTTGGTCACACCACGTCTGCTGTGGTCCACACCAGGTTCACGGGTGGCCCATCCCGCCTCTTACACCCACAAGGCCAGAGACCGGACATTATCTCTGCTCTGTCAGCTACAGAAAAACCAAACACCTCCCCAAGCAAATTTGCCAGCAGAAACTTGGCTCCCCCTCAATTCAGTGGTTCAATTCTGAATTCAGAATTCAGAATTCTCTCATAGAAGAGCATTCAACAGGCAGAACCAAATCACAGCAGAAATTATAGCTGCAAGAGAGTCTGGGAAATGTCCTTGTTCGCTCTTAATCACCTGTGATACAGGGAGGTACACCAGGGGAAGGAAGGAAGACACTGAGTTCCAACCCCACATAATCAGCCACAGCAACCAACTGTGTCTGCCACACTCTTCTTTGGGCTAGAGTTTCTAACTCTAATTGCATCAATCCATATGTTTAAGGTGGGGGCCAGGGGTGGGGTCTATGCCTGATTCCAGAGGCACAGGACATGACAATCAGTATACCTCATTCTCCTGGCCACAGTAATTGGCTCATACAGACACATGCCTTAGGACTGTTCAAGCTGATCAACTCGGGACTTTTGCCTAAGCTCCTGGAAAAGAGACTTGCTCTTTCCAGCTGAACATGAACCTGAAAAATCTAGAGCTGCTACATATATCTTTCATTGCAAGAGAAAAGCCCATCTGAGAATGGAGCCAACTGAGAGAGGCAAAGCCAAGAGACAGACAGAAGCTGGGATCTGATGACATTTTTGAACCCCTGGATTCAGCCATTCCTGAAGCCTTCTGAGCTTTTCAGGTACATGAGCCAATATCTTTTCTTTTTGTTTAAGTTCATTTTAATTGTCATTTGGCGGGGGTGGGGGGGACACACAGGAATGTTATCCAAGACCCATTTTGATCATTGCCCTGAACGTGCAGGAGGCAGCCACTGGTTTATTGAGATTAGTACCCAGCTCCTCAAGAGTTAACCGCTCACACTGAAGTGAGAAAGTCCAGAGACAATGGGGAAAGGGAGCAGCTGGAGCTAGGGTTACAGCATGGACAGCTGTAGCCTTGGCTTGTCTTCATTGATACAAAAACCACTCTTGTCTCTGAATCCCCAGTGAGGGGGTGTTTGTTTTGCTCTGAAAGATGACAAGGGTCTTAACATTGTCTTTGGGAATCCCATTTAGAAGTGATAATATCAGAATGCGTTATTCTATTTTCAAATATATATTAAATATATATTAAAAATTTTGCATTTTGAATGAATAAACATTATTTTTAATCAATCAAATAAACTAATTAATAACAATGCATACATTCGTCTTCCTGTCTAGCATCAAAGATGTTGTGCAAATGAACTGCTCAACACACTCAAGCTGGTTTATTTCTTCAACCATCGCCTAAGTGAGGAGAGACGAGGGGCCCCAAGAATCTGATGGTTCTCAGCCTTGAGCACACAACAGGGCCAGGGGACCCTCAGGGAGTCAGTGCACGGGGACCCTGTGCCTGCCACCAGATCCCCCTTTGGGAATGGAAACCTGATTCCACCAGATGCTGCTAAGATTGTCAGTTGATAGGCCTCAGCTGTCCACCCTCTTTGAGGATTAGTTTGGTTGAAGATTACTGCCTCATCCAAGGTCACGCTCCTTCCAAGGGCAGCCCGTATCCAATGACCGATGCAGGAGAGAAAGGCCACGCTCCCTCACCCACCTGGGACAAGGGAAGGGCCACCTTCATTGGCAGGTGTCTCAGTCACCTTCCGCTCCAGCCACTCTTGCTCCCTCCCCTTGGTGTGGACCCCAGCAGCACTCCCCAGTAAACACCCTGCTCTCTACCCCCCTTCTCAGAATCTGCCTCCCAGGAGACCCCTGCAGACCCGCATCTCAGACAGCAGCTGCTGGACTTAGGGGTTCAACCAGGTATAACAGAAAAAGATTCCAAACCAATTTCCATACTTCTCAACCACATCTCAATTCCTGCTGCTCCCCATCCCTGCCCCATCTTCTTGTGCAAATAAAATTATCCTTCATGGTCCAGCTTCATGGCCCATCTTCTCTACGAAAACTCCGCAGAACCCCCCAGCAGCAGTGGGCTCTCCCTGTCCTGAGCTCCCACAGCATTTTGTGGGTGCCTCGTTCAGGATGCGTCACCTGCTTGGGTTTTTGAAGTTTTACATTGTTAGTTTCTGCCACTGAGTCTTTGAGTCTGTGAGGTACCTCCTCTGAGCCAATTTCCTGTTCTATTAAATGAGAGCAACGATACTTCAGAGGATAAGATGAGCCAACAGCCCGTACCCCAGCATCTGGCCCCCGAAAAAATTCAATATGCCAACTTCTTCTCTCCCTCCTTCTAAATGGGCCGCTCTCCTCAGGAACAATGGAGTGTCTTCTCTTTCTCTGCTCTTTCAGGGAGGAGGCAAGCAGCAGAAGCTCCCGTGAGAGTATCTGCCCTCCCCACCCACTGCCGTCCACAGAGGCTCGGCTATTTGCACACAGAGGGAGCGATATCATTTGTGGCTTTGAAGAAACAAAGGATTGACACAGGTACTCCTATGTGGTCACATTGCAGTCAGCTTGCCCTAGAACATCTAAATGTCTGTCTATTTTTAGGATCAGAGTTCATTTTCTGGCTTGGTGTGAGCACCCAGGTTGGGGGAGGAAGTTAAAAGTGGTTGGTGTTTCACAGCTAGGTATATATCCAAAGGAATTGAAAACAGGGACTCCAACAGATACTTGCACGCCAATGTTCACGGCAGGATTATTCCCAATAGCCAAAAAATGAAACAACCCAGGTGTCCACCACCAGACGACTGGATAAACAAACCATGGTGTATATGAATGATGGAATATTATTCAGCCTTAAACAGGAATGAAGTTCTGACACCTGCCTCACCATGGATGAACCTTTAAACCACGAAGCTAAGTGAAATAAGCCAGACACAAAAAAGACAAATATTGTAGGATTGCACTTATATGAGATGTCTGGAATAAGCAAATTCATAGAGACAGAAAGCACATTAGAGGCTAGCAAGGGCTGGGGAGAGGGGCAAGTGGGGAGTTAGTTACAGAGTTACAGAGTTTCTGTTTGGGGTGATGGACACCTTTTGGAAATAGGAGTGATGGTTGCTCAACATTGTGAATGTCATCAGTGCCCCTGAATTTATATAAAAATCACACATTTTATGTTGCAAATATTTTACCACAATTTTTAAAATTGATATGATAATATATCAAAAAAAACCCATTGAATTGTACTTTAAATGAGTGAATTATACAATATGTGAATTGTAGCTCAAGAGAACTTTTTTATTTTTTTTATTTTTATTTTATTTTATTTATTTATTTATTTATTTGAGACAGAGAGAATGAGAGAGTGCCTGGGTGGCTCAGTTGGTTAAGCGACTGCCTTCGGCTCAGGTCATGATCCCGGAGTCCCGGGATCGAGTCCCGCATCGGGCTCCCTGCTCGGCGGGGAGTCTGCTTCTCCCTCTGACCCTCCTCCCTCTCATGCTCTCTGTATCTCATTCTCTCTGTCTCAAATAAATAAATAAAATCTTTAAAAAATAAATAAATAAATAAATAAATAAATAAATAAAATGAGGTTTACTATAATTATTCATTCTGGGGCACAAAGAACTGTATAAAATTCAAAGACAAAAAACAAAACAAACAAAAAACCCAAGCTCAATCCATAACTGAACAAGAGATGTGACATTTTCAGCGAGGGTCTCCCTCTGGACATTCTTTTCCCTGGGGCCCAGGCCAGTCTGCAGGGCCGCACTCCCAGCAGCTTCTGAGGGAACCCCAGCTTTGTTGCAGACAGTGCTCTCCCAGGATTGTGGTCATTTCATCCGGCAGCTGAAGACCCGCGCAGCGCCCCCCACCGCCACCCCCAGGTAGGACAGGTCTTGCACGGCGCTCTTGGTGGTCGTGTTTCTCCCGCCTTTGCAGCAGAGAGGACTAATCCATGGAAAGGCTGGCTTCTGGGATGGGTGGGGTTGGGATAGGGATCTCGAGAGGCTAGCAAGTGCTCTCTCCCCGCAGGATGCAGAGACCGAGATGTCAGAACCCACCTGTTAATGCTCCCACATCCCTTCTCTCGTTTTACCACCACCAACGAGGCCACAAACATAACGACCCGCCTCAGATCCTGCGGCGGGTACTTCTCTCCTTGGGTTCGGAGAGTGAACTCAATTTAACATAAAAATTAGTTAGGGAAGCCGGTTTGCATCATACAGGAGTCAGGAGCCTATGGGCCTATAAAGGGCACATAGGAAATGTAGGTGAACAAAGCAAGCTTCATTCAGTGAAGTGTTTTAAGTGATATTTCTTAATATTCACGTCATCTTTGGCAATGGTCTCAATTTTTAAATGTCCTGAAGATGCAAGCCCAGGCACAACTTCATGCCTTTATTCAGGCTGTTGCCTCTGGACCAGACTCGTCAAATGAATTTTTACCACAATCCTTTAAGGTAAGTGTTATTAACCCCATTTCTGCAAACAAAGGGTCACGCAAGATGGCTCCCTGTTACCAGGGTCCAAGACAGACTTCATGATGTCACAAGGCATGAGCTAGGGAATGTGCTGTATCAGGGAAAGGGCGAATGAATCAAGCAAGGATCTACAAAATGAGCGAAGGCAGCCATCCCTGGATCCGTCCATCCTCCCAACTAGTCCAAGCCCAGGAACAAAGCTGAGAGTGGTTCCAAGTGGGCTGGGTTTCCCAACCGTTTATAGGAGCTGTCTGAGAATGCCAACTGCCCAGATCTTGGGGTCCGTGGGATAGCAGAGTCCCTCCTGTCAGGAAAAGGAGTGGGCCCATGGGCTAAGCTGAGATGCGCTGCCTCCTGTGGGGAGTCAGTGAGAAGCTCCCACCCGGTGCCCCGCGGGCTCACTGTCCAGGCAGCTAGAGTGAGAACCCACGGTCACTTTAGACAATTCTGATCATCACACCACATGAGGAAATTGAGGCCCAGAGAGTTTAAGACTTGTGGGCAAGATCACACAGCTGGTGGATGGTGGAACCCAGATTCTATCTATTTTTATTTTATTTTATTTATTTTTGACAGAGAGAGAGAGCACAAGCAGGGGGGACAGCAGAGAGAGAGGGAGAAGCAGACTCCCTGCTGAGCAGGGAGCCCGATGCGGGGCTTGATCCCAGGACCCCGGAATCATGACCTGAGCCGAAGGCAGACGCTTAATGATTGAGCCACCCAGGCGCCCCAGGAACCCAGATTCTAAATCAGGCTTTTCTCACCACACTGTATCTCCATGAACATCCTTGTTATCCAACCCATGGCCCTCACTGTTTTCTCTTGGACCAGCCCATGGGGTCAGCGCACCTGTAGGTATCTCAGGTTGATGGTGGGCATGGGGCGGAATCCTGCTCTCCCAGTTTCTCTGGGATGACTGGAGCCATGGGGAGGCCTTGGAGACACCAGTAACACCAGGTCACTCTGTGCTGCCTGTCTCTGAGATTTCTAGATGGCAGGGTCACTTGTCTTTCTCTTTCCTTCTAAGTTTGATTTCCCAGTTTCCAGTGCCAGAGGCTCACCCTGAGAAATATCTATACTAACTCAGGTAAATACAGATACCATTAACGCCTCATCTCCTTTTTCCTAGGACAACAAAAATACTGGTTCAACCTGGATAATAGTAAAGTCCTGTAGAGAGAGAAAGTGTGTGTGTGTGTGTGTGTGTCTGTGTGTGTAGATCCCTATGGGGTTCTGGGAGAGTTAAATAAAAATGTCCTTACCTTCCATGGGATTCGGTGCAGTCTGGTTATAGCCAACCACCATGAGCCAAAGACGATCATAAACGGTATGAATCTAATAGACGGCAAACAGAACGCAGAGCAATTTACACCCTATACTTACTGTAATTTCAAAGTCTCAGAGAATTTAATTAGGGGAATCCCAAAGGTAATTTAGATCTGTCTTGTGTGAAATCTGTCTTACGTTGGCCCGGTTCAGGACATTCAGGATGTATCTGTGTCCCTCACCTTTCCTTCTCTTTTACCGTCCCATTTGGCCAGAGTCCTGGCCTTGACACCTCTGAGCCTTGCCCCTAAGGAAACATATGTCCCACAGACTGGCCCCCATAACAGAGACATTCTTTGGGTTCTCTTGTTGGCTGGAACTATTTTGCCAGTCTGAGAAGTTGCTGCAGGGACAGCTTCACCTGTCCCCCTGGCTCTGTCTGCTCTCACAGCTGTGGCAATGTGGGCGCCTGATGGGAATGCAGTCAGTGCCCTGGGAGGAATCTCTGGTTGGAGAGAGCAGGTTGTGAGATAAAAATGACATTCCAAATGTTATAGAAGGCATTTGGAGATGTAGCCTGAGAAATTCTGGAGGACATGCAAGTCGCTCCCAGCAACAGAAGATGCAAGGACACATGGTCTGAGAGAGGCCAGCTGACTTCGGAGTCATTTCAAGCACGTACTCTGACCTACCCAGGAAGCAGCTGGCCAGAGAAGGCCCCAATGGGGATCCATTGGTGACCTTGTGGTCCTCAACCTTACTGCCTTAATAATGGGGAGATAATAGTTAAAATATTTACAAAGGCAACTATTTCTCTCCAGTGTGCTTGCTTGCTTGATTTACAAGTCCGGGGCCAAAGCCTGGCTGTCTGGGATGACAGGGAGCTAGGATTCTATTCTTTAATCATCCTTATTTTTAGTCACAAGGATAAGGGAGTTGAATTACTAGGCTATCATCCCCTGAAGCTGAAATCCCTCTGTTCCTAAGAATCTCAATGGAAAGTTTAGGCCTGTTTTTGTGTTCTATAACCTCTATTTTTGGACTAGAGGTATTCTCCAAAACCTACTTTTTAAAAATCCAGATTTGCTAACCTGTATATAACCTTATTATTTTTCCCTCTTCATCTGCTCTGTCATCACCACTCCCCCAGCCCCCTGAGATCCACCCCTGTCAAACACCTACTGCACAGGGAACGTTGCTTTGAAAGTCGTCATTCCTTTCGTAGGTAACTGCACAGAACAGCAAGAAGGCGCTTGGGGGAGGTGGAGAATTCCGCTCCTCATGGAATTTGGAGAGCAAGCTTGAGCTGGGAATTCAGCAGTCAGCAAAGGTGCCGGGCCTTTTTCTGGAGACCTGTCAGTCCTCAGTTGAATGTCAGAGTACACTCCCGGTCCGCCTGCAGTTTTCATCTGATGGTGTTGACCTTTCCAACTGGGTGTGTTCCCGAGGCAAGTTTCCCATGGATTCAATGAGCTGCATTTGGGATCGGATGAGTAATTACATTTTTTCTGGCTTCCCACCCCATCCTAATTAGTGTACTTTACCTAACCAGAGCCAGCGGGGCTGCCTCAAAGTCTCTGCATCCCTTCCTCCTGGATCTACGAAGCTTGTTTGACTAGAAAGTAAATATTATTTGCTAAAAGTAGCCCCGACCGGGTTTCCAGGCTCAGGAGTCTTCATCCCCCTTCCTGCCTTCTTCCCCACCCCAACCCCAATCTTTCTTCTTCCCTGTCAATTTATGCAATAATAGAACCTTGATCTTTAATCATCCTTTTTTACCTTTTCAGTTAGCATCACACCTTTGGGCTCATCTGAGAAAGACTCTGGGGATGGGATGGTGGGTGAGTGGGAGACCCTGGTGGGCAGTGAGCTGTGGGGCCGACCTGAGAGCACAGGTAGAGGCCTGAGAATATTTCCAAGGAAGGGTAGCCCACCCCCCAACGACCATTCTCATGAGGGAAGGGAGGATAGAGTCCAGGTGAGCCTTCCTCGAAGTGGAAATGGTCGAGGTGTGGCTCTTGGGATGAGCAGGCTTGATAAAGCTCACTCCCAAGCTGGTGGAGGTGTGAGCCGAAAACCTTGCTGTCTCCCCTCCCACATCTCCCCACTGGATCAGTGCTTCTCAAAAAGCTTCAGCAACAGAATCTTCACCTGAAACAAAATGTAGGCAGAATCCACCGAGAATGCTGATAAAAGCTAAGTAATCAGTGGCAGGGGGTGAGGGGGTGCAGGGAATAAGCATCCTCCTCAGTCTCCCCTTCACCCCCCCCCGCCCCGCCGTCCTTGCAATAGCCCCAGCAAACATCCTGGGAACGGTGTTTGGGGACCTCAGCACCTCTAGACCACATGGGCTCCTTTAGGCAGAAGGACATTGTAATCTTAGCCTTCCCCACCCCACCCCCTTTCCCCAAGCAGAGAGGACAGATGCTCCCAAGTAAATGAGTTGAAATTCAAGTCAGAGAAATTCCTAGGGGCTGTTTACTTGGTGTTCTATGGCTAACAGGTTTTAGTGTGCCCTCTGGCTGAATCATCCCTGGGGGGGGGGGGGGGCAGCCAGTGCCAGGAAACCTGGGCAGCGTTGGGTGACAGTGCCGCCACCTCAAAGACTCATGGTGTCTGAGACCTGCCCACCTGCTTGATGCTTCCCGCATCTCTCCCTCTTGCAGACAGATTCCTGGCTCTGGCCTGTGGGGTTTCCTCATGCCTGCTCACCCCTTCTATATTGAGTCTGCATCAAATTAAGACAGCAGGGATTTGTCGGGGGAGAGAAAAGAGGGAAATAAATGTTCGTACCCAAGAAAGTCCTGATTTTTTTTTTAACTGCTGTGAAGCACTTAGCAAGCATCCAGCCGAGCAGATGGCAGACTCCTCCTTGACATCTCCAGAGAGCAGTGGGAAGTGTGCTGGACCTAAAATCGTCACCGCCGGGCCCCCCTTCCAGCTCCGCCGCGAACCCTTCCAGTGGCGCTGAGCAAATGTCTCGACTCTCCAAACTTGGCTTTCGATAAGACTAAAAGGCAGTCTCTAAGGTCTCTTCTTGCCTTACCCTTGTGTTTAACAGGCCACGCATGGGCACTGCCTGGTCAGCCCTTCGCCACCCCTCTGAGGTAAGGAGCCCAGGAGGCTCTTTTGGTGACATTACTCTGGATAGTGTCCTGCATGTTGAATGAGATCGGTCTTGCAACCCTGCCCACCAGGAACCACCTAGAACAGAGAAGATGCCAAAAGCAATCCACACCCTAGACCAAAGGAGGCTAGCGGGCAGGGAGGTGGCAGGTGAGGACTCTATCCGAAAGGGGCCCTCCTGATTGATGGTGACCCGATCCTCAGATTTTCTTGTCTCAGGAGGATGACTATGAGGTTCTTACAGAGAACATGCCAGAATAACCACAGGAAGACAGAGTGTTTCAAGACAAGGTGTGGCCATTGTTTCTACTCCTATAAGGTGACCCGCTGGGCCAGCTCCGGGAGGCCTGGGACAAAGCACAGCTTGGCCCTGTTGAGATGGCTTTCCAAGACTCCTCACTTCCCCCTGTGGGCTTACGGTTCACATTCATCACCTAAGCAGAGCCACGCCTGTCTTGTCCTTGTAGCCTGAAAGCACCTAGAGGCGATTATTCCATTCTATTCTGTAAGCAGCTCACAATGGAGAAGTCCTGGGTCATAAACCACCTGACACCCTGATTTTGTGTTGGGCGTGACTGCTCCTTCCTGATCCAACACATAGGGTTAACTCCCAGTGGGTCAATGCAGCAAACATTTCTTCAAAATCAGGAGCCCTGACTGGTTCATTTATTACTAACTAGTAGTGACCTTGAGGAAGCTGCTTGACCTCTGCCTCAGTCTCCTCAGCCTCTGGTGAGAACAGTATCATTCAGTCTGTGGCCATACCACCTGAACGCGCCGGATCTCATCTGATCTCGGAAGCTAAGCAGGGTCGGGCCTGGTTAGCACTTGGATGGGAGAACAGCATCATTCAGTCTACCTGCCTCCAAGGGCTGTTGTAGAAAGAAATTAAATGTGATCATGTACATGAGCCTGCTTAGGTGTGCACAATGTGCTGGGTAAACAGTTGTCCTTAATACCCAGACAGTAAAGGGCATGAGAGAGCAGAAGGTGGAAATTAAGAGCGCTGGTTCTGGCACTTCCTACAAGGCCTGCTTAGCCTCTGTGTGCCTCAGTTTCCTCATCTGTAAAACAGGGGTGATTATCATAGCACCTGCTTCATAGGGCTACTTAAGTTAATGCATGTCAAGTACTTAGACCAGTGCATGGCATATAGTAAGTGCTTAATTAACGTCTTGTAGTATTAAGAGGAACACATTCCCCTGGCCAGAAGCACATTTGGTGGGCCCCCACAGCCTTCCTGTGCACCTGGCAATGAAGCCCTACCTGGGCCCTGGGAAGGAACACGTGGCGGCAGGTACCTGGCCTTGTATTCTGCACTCGTACCGTGGGACCTCATGCAACTCCCTCCTGCCCAAGAGCCTCAGTCTCCCCCCTAGAAGAGGAAGCCAATCATAGTGACCTGTCCCACAATCATTTGGACGCCTTCATGTGTGGTCTCCGGGAAGAACCCCTCCCTCGGATTTCCCAGGTGTATACCCCACTGCAAGGGGAGCCTTAGCACACCCATGGCACAGAATCGGGGAGAGGAACAACTCAGGGCCTGGCGAGCTCACTGGAAAGGGACAGAGAGTTATGTTTGCTGTAAATACCTTTAAAGAAATGATTCCTCAACCTTGCCTTTGCCTGTAATTTTCCTCTTTATAGACACCCCCCCCCCACACCCCTTGAGTTCAGAATGAGGTAGAAGTTTCAAGAGGAGTCTTACTCTAGAATGTAGTGTACTCTTCTCAGCAAAGCTCTTTATTGGGGGTGGGCGGGGGGGGCCCGGGGGGGGGGGTGGCAGGCACCCAGCCTGCTATGACCTCACGCTGCCATTTCCCAGGAAGCAACTTGAGGAAGCAAGCCCCAAATCCTGGGGGCCTGGCCCCCGCCGACCACTCTACATGGCAAAGGGATGGCGGGGGGGGTCTCTGCTATGCATCGATCTGTTTCTGCAGTGGTCCTAATTCAGACCACCAGAGACGATCATCCAGGTGAACCCTAGAAGGTCCCCTCCGGAGCAGGAGGACCAGGGAGGGACAGGGTGACCACCACATTTTGAGAGACTCTCTTGTGTTTGGTTAGATTCTGGCTGGGTTCCCACCCTCTGCAGCGCCCACCCATGAGCACGTTCATGTCCAGCCAGAATGACAGCTTTGGTTCTGGGTTTGGACTTCTTTTTTTTTTTTTTTTTTTCAGATTTTATTTATTTGACAGAGAGAGAGAACAAGTAGGCAGAGAGGCAGGCAGAGGGAGTAGGAGAAGCAGGCTCCTGACGTGGGGCTCGATCCCAGGCCCTGGGATCATGACCTGAGTCGAAGGCAGCTGCTTAACTGGCTGAGCCTCCCAGGAGCCCCCAGGGTTTGGATTTCTTAACCGTGCCCCCACGACGTGAGCCGAGAATGGCATGGAAGAGTGAGCCAAGCTCGGTATTTGCTCGGATGGCACAAAGACCTTGTCCTGGCATCAGACCTCAGGCCAAACCTTGAACTCTGCTGCCCCAGCTTCCGCTTTGCTTCATAACTGAGTCCTCACAATCGTTCCATGGGATCAGAGGTAGGAGATAGCCTAGTGCCATCCTTGAGGTTTACCAAGGACACTAGCACGCAGTCCCAGAAAGGCTGTGGGTTAAGAGAGAGTATGTCCCACAGCCCTCGTGTGGAGTTACGCCTCGGCAGGCCCTGCCATGGGTCTCCCGTCCTTTTCCTCTAGAAGAGGATTCCTCTCTTTATATGTGAGGGGGGCAGGCAGTGAGGTTTTCTCTGTGGAGACCAAAACGGTTTTGCAGGTTTTACCTTTTTCAACCTCAAAAACACTTTAAAAAAAAATGTAAGGTATTTTCTGCAATGAAGTCTACAAGAGGTATGATGCTATTACTCTGAATCCGGTGGTACTGCCAAGCTAAGGCGCACGGCATCACAGGAGTGTGATTCGCTCTTTCCTTCCACCCAGTGTAAACCTAAAACAACCTGCTAAGCAGTGCATAAGTTTCTCTCACTAAAACACACATCTGGTCACAGACATGATGGTTCCAAGGTGGTGGTCAGAGCCCAGTTAAGACCTTTTAGAGACCACAAATACAGAACCAGTTAAGGAACCCACCCCAAATAAAAATGACATCAAATTGCCTTTTTTTTTTTTTAAATGTAAGGGAAGGAGAACACAGATCTGATTTTCCCCATGATAAATATTTCATTAGCAAATGATCTCC